CACACACACACACACACACACACACACACACACACACACACACACACACACACACACACACACACACACACACACACACACACACACACAAACAACATCATACGTGTACTGCTTTAGTCTTTGTCTCAAATATGTCAAGTATAATCACTGATTACATATCCACTTAAACAAAAATTCCTGGAGGACGGGGGGGGCAACCCTCCTTCACGGTTTTTCACTTACCGCGGCAGAGTCCGGGCCCCCATTAACCGCGATAAGTGAGGGATCACTTACTTCCACATAAATTGAACAAATTTGTTACTTCAGAAGCCCATATACAGATGGTCGCCTTTGCATTAATTAGTCACCAACAAGTCACTGTCAGTTTCAGACGGGTTGATTACGCCTTGATCGATGCTATCTCGTATCTGTGGTGTCAATGGTTTTGTATTTGTAGTATGTGTTTTGTGACCTATGGCATCCATAAATGAATATTATCAATTGTATCCATGCTATCGATCTAGCTTCCTCCCACACAAACGACATTAAATCAGTGGCCTCCATTCATGCTGTCATGACTGACTATCTCCTCTGGCTTCTTCTGCACTACCGCTGATTAGCCGCCTATTCCAGACCAGGTCAAAAAAAGTGAATGTATGTGTCAAAAAAGTGAATGCATGTGTCCGTTTTTTAAATGTTACGCTAAAATCTCAATCTTTTTTTGAGTCTCTATCATTTAAACATGCAAATACTTGGCGGAACCAGCTCCAAATCAAATGAGCAAAGGTTGAGGAAAGTATCTCCGAGCTTACCTGGGGATCGGAGAGACGAGAGATATCTGGGTAGAGGTAAAACTTGATGCCGTCATACGCTCCCGGCAGTGTTACTCCTCTGATCAGCAGAATCAGCAACATGAAGTAAGGAAATGTGGCTGTCACATACACAACCTGCAGGGACAAACACATATGCAATATTGATTTCTTTTTTTTTTTTTTTTTACATACGAGATTACAGAACAAACACAACTAATAAAATACCAATTTATGATTAGCAATTGGCCATATCTGGTATTTACCCACCTCAAAACACAATCCACACATCATTTGTAGCAATAATAATAATAACTGCATGTTTCTATTAGCGCTCATAGTAGTGTATTACTCGTTATGCATCAATGAGGCTCATTTTCAAAGAGGTTGGCAATTTTTTCACTCAGTAGGTCCATATGACTTCATTTAAAAATGCAGAAATAACACCGGCGCACTAAGACACAATCTGCTTGGCAGCGCAGTTAGTGAAGCATTTCAACATCTATGCATCCATCCATCCATTTTCCGATCCGCTTTATCCTCACAAGGGTCGCGGGGAGTGCTGGAGCCTATCCCAGCTGTCTTTGGGCAGTAGGCGATGGACACCCTGAACCGGTTGCCAGCCAATCGCAGGGCACACAGAGACGAACAACCATCTGCGCCCACACTCACACCTAGGGACAATTTGGAGTGTTCAATCAGCCTGCCATGCATGTTTTTGGAATGTGGGAGGAAACCGGAGTGCCCGGAGAAAACCCACGCAGGTACAGGGAGAACATGCAAACTCCAGCCTGCAGCCTTGCACTCTGAGGTGGACGCGCTAACCACTCGACAACCGGGCCATCAACATCTCTGCATACTTTGTGAATTTTCAATTTACTGCATTTTTATCAGTGAGCGCGCCATAAAAACCACACCACCCTTGAATTATTTCCTCCCAGTTTCCAAATGGTTGGAGTGAAGCAGTGCATGCTCGCAGCGTATTTCCCGCGATTAGGGAACAGGAATTTGGTGTACGGGTCCAAGCTCTACCGTTCTTGATCTCAGATTGTTTGAAATAAATTTCCCCAAAAAAAGCAACTCACACTCCGGAGTGACTTATGTATGTTTTTTCTCCTTCATGAAGCATTTTTTTTTGGACTGCTGCGACTTATACTTATAAAATACAGTATCTTAAGTATTGACATGAAACACTGACTATATCATGTTAATCACAGTAGTAACCTTCCTTAAGTGTAGCCGTTGAAGAGCGTTTTGAGAGTTAAGCTCAACATTTCAAGAGACCGCTTGAAAAAAGGCCGGGGTGGGCAACATATATCGCCTGGCTTTCTGGAACCCAGTCAACGGTCACCAATTGAGGGCAGGATGGAACAGAACAGAGCCGGTCGGGCCAGGGAAGTGAAAAGAAAGCGAGGGCTCCCTTGGCTCAGTCTTTTAAACAGGAGGAGCCCAGAGAAGTGATGCTGGCAGTGTGGGAAAATGTGCTTCAAAGAGATGCACAACAAGCGAACAAATACACAACTTCATTCACCATACTGAAGTACACACTCACACACACACACAAATCTTAACATACACTGTACGCACATGGATTTTGGTCCTTATACTGCATTGGCTTTAAATATAGCAAGACACTTAATTCCAGGCTGAGCATATTATGCAAACATTTGTAAAGAAGCAAGAGAACACATGTTTTATGCTGCAAAAGATTTACGAAGGCTGTGCGCTTTTAGATGTGCTAATCCCAACATGTCCGACACGAAAAGTGTGGGAAAACCCGAATCCTGCCATGCGGCCGGCTTCATTCAGATTGACAAACACGACGATTACACATCCTAAACCTCTCATCGCATTTTTCTCCTCATTTGGGGGCAACAAAAAGGGCAATATTCGCTCCCTGTGTGAACTTTTGAAGCACCGCGCGCTGCCTCCACCTCACCGCGGGGTAAACATTGAAGCCAGCGCAAATTTACGGGTCAAGCTTGCCGCCGCGTTGCCGTAAACCTTTACGGGAGGGCTTAAATGTGAGAATGGCCTGCAAACACAGTCACAAAGCAAACAGCTTAGCCGTGTCGCAGCTGAATGGGCCCCGTTGGGTCTGTGGAGAAGAAAGTGAGGGAGGGAGAGGCTGAGGATGTACTCTGCATGCTCCTCATGAACGCTCCCCCTTTTCCTCCAGTGAATACAGGAATCAATCTTGGACCGGCTGCTAAAGCCCAGCCATGAAGGAGCATTCTCTCCTCTTCACTTCACAGACAGACAAAAGACACTTCAGGGGGAAATCAGCATTGCCGCCTAGTTGTTATGTTTTCCCTCCGTCATGTTGAATGTGAAGCCATTTATTCTCCCCTCCTCGCACACCTCTTTTTTTTAATTCTCTGTTTTGCCATTCTTGAAACCCTTTTCCACATTCTACTTTTATCTCACAACTCATTCTTCGACCACTGGGCTTCAGGGAAGTTTTCCTTAAAGGCTACTGGGGGTGTGCTTACTAACCCGCTCAAGGCAGCAGTAGGCTCTCTTCGACCGACCGCATTAGAAATTAAATGAGGATTCAACAGTGGTGCAAAGTCGTCAGTAAACAGATCTTAAGAAGGAGAAATCAGCGCTGTCTCACCTTGCCAGTCGATTTGGGTCCCTTCCAGATGCAGAAGTAGCAGATAAACCAAGCCAGTGCCAGGCACATGGCCAGCTCCCAGCGCATCCCGCCCATGTGCTCAATGCCATCGGATATCTTTAGGACTCTCCGTCTGTATGGGCCCAGACAAAGATTGAGGCTCAAGAGACATACCAAAAGTGGAATCCAATGAAGACAGTGTCCGCTTGAGCGAGACGAGGAAGATTTCCCGCAAGCCTTTTTAGTTCTACCTTTTTTGCCGCTAGTTACATACTGATTATTTGAGGTGGTGAGACACAATAACAATGTTGCAAATACATCAACCAGTAACTGTCCGCCATCCAAAGGCACTTTGTGATTTTGACCCACCTACTGATTATTCCACAATCGCTACCAAGATCGCAAAGTATTCTTGGCAAAATACTGTGATGCTAAATTGCGATTCTCACCTCTCCTGCTTATGAAAAGCAAGATTCATTATAAAACCAAAACATCGGGTTACACCATCATAAGAAAGAAAACTTAGGCAACATCCAGGAAAGGTTCTTGGGCGTGATGGCCATTCAACAATTTTTACTGTTAAATCCTGAGCACATGGTAAAGTTGTATTGGTCGTCTGCCTCACAAGAGAGCGGCTCAAATCTCAGCTCAGAAACTCCCGTGTAGAATTTGTATATTTGGAATTTTTCTCAAAGTAGCTTCTGATTAGCATCGAGCAAATTTGACTTGCATTCATTCACCACAGCCAAATTGATCTGAGAACAAGTTAATGTTGACTGAAGGTTTCATTCCATCAACGTAGTCGACAAATGAACAGAAATGTCAGCGCAAGATCAAATGTTTGGGGCTCCTGGCTAAGCCAAAAGTTTTCAATCTCTGCCATGTTGTAGTAGACATAAATAAACCAGCAGATTTAATGGGCACTTTGCAAGCCTACACATTGGCCAGAAGTCGCTCTTCCACAGCTAAAGTGCATCTTCGAAGGTCTGCAGGCGTCACGGTCAAGTTGACCCAGTTAGCACGTTTGCCACCATAGTTGGTTTGCAGCGCTGAACGACCACTCCGCTTCCTGTTTGTCAAAGCATTTCCAGGCAACGGAATTGATGGAGGATGCGAGGTGGCAGAGCTAAACGCTGTTTGCCAAATCTTCGCCACCGAGTTCACCCCCAGAGATCCTGAAGCAGCTATTGATCATGGTGACATGTTCTTGGTGGCAGGCCACAGGCTAAGTCCAACACAGCTTCCCTGTCGCCCTGGTCAGCCACAAGGGCTACCTTGGAACACTATGATCTATCCGGATTGCTTTTGGATACTCTCAAAAGTGATTCTAGACATGTTTATTGCACAGTATTTTATTTTAAGATTGACTTGTACGCGTTACGTTAGCTAGCTATACCACAGGGCGTTTCTGAAGTATCTGGAAAGGTCTAAATCCAGGCCAGGCAATCAAAACCAATTTTTGTTCTTTCCGTATGACATGTTAAACTGATCAGTGGTTGGTCCTTGCAGTAAAAATTCTAAAATGGCTTCAATGCGGTCTCTTTGGGTGTTTACTTAAATGGCATTCGTCACAATTGTCACCCTTGATGGCGTTCTCATGTCTCACGCGTGTGGATGGTTTTCAGATTCTTCACAACTTTCTCCAAACACGCTTTTTCCATGACACATTTAATCTACACTAACTGTGGTTTAACTCATGCTTGTTTTACGGGGGTACAGGAGGCAAATACCGAATAAGGTTTTACTTGTGTGGTGCTGTTTTTTTTTTTTTTTTTTTGCGAAACACATTGTGGTTGTTTGTCTCCTTGGCTGGTGCTTCTCATACCTGATATTTGTTCCCAAATTCATCATCAGTGATTACAATTGAAATGATATATAATCACTTCAAAAGGCTTTTTCCCCCCTCTCAGACTATACAATGATGAGTTATATGGTGTAAAAACTGGATCGTTCTGGTGAAACCACAGGGACTGGCAACGAAACTGCAAGTGCGCTCAGCATTGCCCGCTGACAAAAGGCTGATCTGCTGCCACATTTGCGACTCCAGCTGAGAGACAGCTGGCCGAGTGGACCCTGCTGACAAGTATGAAAGGAGCTGACTAATTATTTTGGGGAAGGAGGTTGAGGAGGTCCCTGAAACCATCTGAGGCTGTCTAAGATTAACAAATAATATTACACATGAAATTTTTCTGGCTTGGGCTCGGGAGACTCACAAAGAAATGGCTGCAATGGTGATCAAATGGAAACTCTTTCATTCATATTTGATACCCAGAGAGATGAGCAACAAAGTGGAAAGAATCGTGAAAGCGACAAGAGATGGGGTGGAAAAAAAATGGACTGTACTCACTCCCAGAATTCAATAACGGGAGAGGTTGCGTTGGGGTTAGTAATGTTGGTGGCATTTTCTCCATAGTAGTCGACGCAGTTCTCTGTGGAGACACATTGACCTCAGTCGGTGGCTTGTGGATGAGGAATAAACCTGAACATGGCCAAAGATGCTGCGCTCTCCCACCAGTATTCCAGTAGTGGCCACAGCCAGCCCACGGAAGCTCAGTGGTGAAGCAGTTAAAGAGGTAGAAGATGGCCCAGGCGAGGATGACTACATAGTAGACGTTTAGATGAGCTTCAATCACCTGCGTTGCATAGCCAATGCCTGAAAATGTTAAAAAAAATTTCAAAAAAAAAAACAAATTTGTGAGATTACACACGAGTGATTCCAAACCACGTTGAAAGCACATGAGGCGTTTCTTACCCTCAAACAGGGGGCAGACTTTCCTCCAGCATGTGATTCCTCCCTCACTGGTAAACTGACCGAGTGCGGTCTCCAGGAAAAACACGGGGATGCCGCAGCATACGAAGAAGATGACGTACGGAACAAAGAATGCACCTTTATACACCCCAGAGATGGAAAAAAAGCAAAACAAAAACAAAAAAAACACCCTTTTAGGTTTTGGAGTTTGGGTGAGGAAGAAAACTCACTTCTATGCAGCTGTCAGACGTTTTGGTTGATGCTGGTCTTAGTAATGCACCCGGGCAACTGATTGAATTCCGAGGTGATTGTTTGTTTCATTCCGAGATGAAAAAAAAAAAAGAATGCGGCTACAATATGTTCTTAAACTGTAAAAGGAGCTATTCAGGTCTTGCATCATGGTTGGGAAAACTTGTTTCACGCAGTCCTCATTCACGTGATGGAACAGTATTAGGAGCCACTGGGCGTTCGGGGTCGCGCTCAGCGACATGTTCAACATGTTCACAGGGACGCAGGTAAAATCCAGGACCTTCAAGTTGTGCAACTACCAGTTTACCACCGAAGAGATGGCACCACATTGAGTCTAAACTGAGAGGAAAACTTGCAGCTATTCAGTCCTACTCACTCAGTTCAAAGAACAACGTATATTTCGCAGCTCAGTCTCGTATCCATCCAAGCAGACCTCAGGAGTTCAGAACAATCATGGAAGGTATTTTTTGATCCCATTGAAGAAATGAATGAAAATGACCACAAATTGCTACATTGATTATTTATTGTCATGATGGTTGACCATCGTCAAAATTCCATAATTCTGATTTTGTTACTAAATGGGTTGCATCAAGGCAAACTTACCTCCACCATTCTTGTAGCAGAGGTAAGGAAACCTCCAGACGTTGCCCAGCCCGATGATTTCTCCGGCCACAGACAGGACAAACTCGATCTTGTTGTTCCACTGGCCTCTCTCGTAGTACTCCCTGTTGTCCAGGCTGGAGCTGGAGTCGTCCGTATCCCTGCTGTCCTCTGGTTTACCGTTTATAATCGGACCGCTCTTCTCGGCTGTCATGTCGCTGCCGCTTCACGCAGAATCTCCAGCGGCCGAAATGAGGAACTTGTACTTCAATGCAGCAGCACGGCCCTCCGCCCTGAATAAATCAGGAACGGTGGGGGAAGTGGAGCGTGATATTTCATTAACAATTCATTTCCATTTTGCTTGTGAAGGAATCGAATAAAAACGAGATTGCAAAACTAAAATGAAAATTCAGAGTCGTTGACGGGTGGGAGGGGAAAAAAGTTGGGTTCAAAGTACTCACCAAGTAGACTCCTAAATGCAACAGTGGCAACACTCCTTCGGGCTCTCTCAGTGATGCTGCCTTGGAAAAACGTGAGGGGGGGAAAAAAGGAGCGAAGAGCAATTTAGGTGGGGTGGTAAATTTCTCGTTGACAAAATTTTAAAAACTCCCGGACACGTTTTTGTCTGCGCTGCGCACCGTGCGGTGGACGGTGAGCGACTGTGCTCCTGCTATCCAAGCGTGCCTCTCTCAAGCGCCTCCACTTGGACTAAAGCCACATGGTGGGAGGGAAGGGAAGGCAAGGCACGTGAGGAAACATGGCGGAATAATTGCATGGTGCAGGTGAAACGATACTGAAGGTCAGATTTTTTTTTATTAAGTACAGTATAACAGCAACTGGTGTGTCCAATGCTAAAAAAAGATAGATAGATCAATAGATAGACAGATAGATGAGTAAGTCAAACTTAACAAATCTTAATAGTGACTGTCAAAACAAATATTAGACCATCATCGAAGACGTGAAGAATTTTTTGTCCCGAAAAAGTGACATGAGCTTCGCACGAAGCTGCATTCATGAAAAACCCAGCAACACAAAACAAGTTCCGACTTCTCTCTTTTGTACCTGGCCTAGTTGGAGACGGTGACCCCACGTTTGATTTCGTCAATTGATGTCAACAGTCTCGTTCGCTGACTCTCTTTCGGCTTTGCGCGTAGCATACCAAGTCACTGCTCTTTGTCTCCTGCAGCAGTCACTGTGCACTCTAGCATACCAATAGAGTCCTTTGTTCAAAAGAAAAGACCAAAAATCAAAAACACAGAATTGTCTTTATCAGCAGCTCATGATGAATGATAAATCGGCCGGTCATAAAGTCCCATCACACACGCTGCTCGAGGAACAACAGTTGGCTCACCAGGGCGATTCAAAGCTTTCAAAAGCTTGTAGGTGTTTGCTCATACACAAGTCGATTCGCTAGGTTTCCAGGCATGATATGCTCGCTGCACAAGGAACTCCCCTAACTCCAAAAGCCTGACCCAGTCTCTAAGAATCCCTTCACGCAAGGGTCACTTGTCATTAGAAGCTGGGAGGAAGTGGCCTGCATAAAAAGTTTGGCCACCCAAAGCGGCTGGCAAACACCGTGTGTGCCTTTCAGCCAAAGTCAAGTCCTTTATTTATGCTCTGGGCTCTGTAACATTATCCGAGTGAGAATACTTCATTTAGGAAGTTGAAAAATTGGTACCGGTACATTTGCAGATGCGAGGTTTGCGTCTTTCATACCTGGGAGGAAATAGTAAATTAATAATAGTATAAAAAAATAAAATAACAGTAAAAAAAAGTCCAAATCAAAATTCAAGTTTCTGTTGTGAAAACAGACAAATAGCATTCCTGATATGATAAATATTTTACACTACAATAATACTTGTAAGCTTATAGGCCACTCCTGCCAGCTAAGATGCCAGTTTCAGGCCTGTTAGCTGAGTAGTATTCAAGAGTGAATAAGACACTTACTAAATTGCCTGCAATTTTGCCGTTCAAAGTTGTATACTCTCCACTTTAATGCCATCAGGGCCAGACTTCTGTGTAAAGTGTACACGAAATTCTGGTGTTTCACACTTAATGTTAATCTTATGCTAGCTTAGCAATTAGCATGGCTTCTCCATCTTTCTTTGCCATCCCTTCGTAAGAGCGGTATTTGCCAGAACTGTATTCTTACTTATATGTTTATTGGCCGCCACGTAGTCAAATATTACTGACTTTGGAGTGACTTGTTTAGCTCAGTGGTGGAGCTAGACTTTTATCCTTGGGGTGACCAAAGCTAACTTGGAAACGTGAACAAAAAACAATAATTAAACTCGCACATGCACGGACGTGTGTGTGTGTGTGTGTGTGTCTGTGTGTGCGTGTGTGTGTGTGTGTGTGCAAAAACATGCATGGCAGTCTGATTGGACACTCTAAAATTGTCCCTAGGGTTGATTGTGAGTGCGAATGGTTGTTTGGCTATGTGTCTATACATGTAATTTTGGCTTCTTTTTTTTTAATGAGTTGTTCAGTCAGACATATACTTAAATTGGGGTTCCTTCATTCATGAATGAATTTTGTATCCATATTGTGTTCTGAAATCTATTAATTTTAGACATCATCTTTCGGTCAACACCTTTGGCACAGGCTAATTTTGAAATGTTAAATAGGAGTTACAGAGTCCTGGGTGCATCCCACCTCTTATCCAAAGTCACCCATGACACTAATGAGGATAAACACCACAGAAAATGGATGGATTTCTTCACACTGTCAATATAATGTGACGCTTAATTATAAGTTTTGTTTTTCCTTTTAAATCAGTCATTTGCAGAGAAAGGACAGTGATATCGAGTTGGAACAAACTGAGATAATCACCCCAAAAATGCATTACAAACACTGGGTTGGGGGGAGGACACTTTTCTTTTTTTCCCCAAGACATCACCACCTGCTGGATTTAGTGGGGAACAGCTCCAGTTTGTCCCCGACGAATGCAAAAATCTCGACACTCTTTCGCCACTTGATCTTTAAATTATGTATGTACTTACTGACGCTATTATCCCATGGAGAAGTCACTGAAATCTCGTTTTGAGAATTTGTGGTCCATTTGGACTCGAGTCATGTTGAGTTGGGACTTAAATTACTACAATGTTTATATGAAATAAAAGATCAATGGAGGCACCTCCATAAATCTTCATATCGACTGTAATTTTCTTGAATGATTCAGCAGTTTCAACATGCGCCACTTGGCTGAAAATGCTTTCAGGGGACAGTTTAGGTTGCACCAACAAAAAAAGTGCGAGGCAGGAGAGAAAAAACAGTGGGGAGGAAGACGACACAAAGAAGATGCTAAACTCACGTTCAACAAACTTGTCACTCGGCACTACATTGCATCTATTTTTACTTTCTTTAGAATTTAAAAAAAAAAACATAATTACATCCTTTGCAAGAAGAAGGCCACCCAGTCGTGAATCAGACCTCCCAACAACAAGCCTCATATTGGCATCCAGAATATTCGTATAGGCAAATGAAACCCAATAGTGGCACGGTTTGAAGTGACAGGGAACCCCTGCGCCATTGCTGATAAACTCACCTATTTGCTGTTTTTGTTTTCAGGCCAAAGCTTTGCCCAATATAAACGTATTGCTCTGGTGCAAGGTACTAAGTTAAAGTGCGGTGAAGAGCTCATTTAAAAAAGTAGTGCGCTGCTGCCATCGTGTGGCACTTATAAGCATTTAGAAACCTTTTGGGGGAGTGGAGGGTGGGGGGGGGGTGATAATTGGATTGCCCTGTCCTTATCCTCAACAAATAGTGGGCGGACCATGGACCTCCTTTTTAATATGCAAATTTTGAGCCCAGAACGAAGTCAGCTATTACACTTCCAAACAATCACAAACACTTTCCTCACACATTTCTTTACACCTGCGATTGCTTGGCGACTCCGGCTTTCTCGCAAAACAAGGTTGGTATTGAAGAACCTAAACTGTGGGAGATGTGATTGGTTCTTTGCCAGTCCAGGGTGCAGTGGGGTTAGGGCATTTGGGGTTTGGGCGATTGAGGTTTGGGCGATTGGGGTTTGGGCCATTGGTGTTAGGGTGATTGGGGTTTGGGCAATTAGGGTTTGGGGGTTTGGGCATTTGGGGTTTGGGCGATTGGGGTTAGGGTGTTTGGGGTTTGGGCATTTGGGGTTTGAGGCGATTGGGGTTCGGGCATTTGGGGTTTGGGCAATTGGGGTTAGGGTGATTGGGGTTTGGGCATTTGGGGTTTGGGCGATTGTGCACCCACCTCACATCCAAAGTCACCCATAACATAAACAAACGCCACCGAAAATGGATGGATTTCTTCACACTGCCAATTCATCGTGACGCTTAGTTGCACGTTCTAAGCTATTCTTGTGACCTGAAGTGCTTTCTGTCTTTATTATTTACTTGTCATCCAATCCTTCAATTCATCCTCACACACAGATCAAATATTGATCAGTCTGGGGTGAGATGACACATCATCATCTTCCACCCACACCTGGTTAATTCATCAATTCCCTGATAGCCGGCTGACGTCTCCGCCTCTGAAGGAACCAATCAGAACTGATCATTCTTATCTTTTGTATTAGATCTACCTCATTACGTTGTGCGGTATCAACAACAAAGCCATCATGAGCCAAAAGCACTGTAGACTTTTTTTTAATGCATCACTGGGTCACAAATGACCTCTAGCGATGAAAGCACGTCACTGCAGCCCAAAACACGCACTCATTTCTCGCCTTACATTATCCTTCTTTGAACTAAAACCGTCATAAATGTCACAATATGGTGGATGTAGAGAGATGTATGTAAACATTTAAATGACTCAAATACATAAAAAAAGACTCTTGGCTTAGGTGCAGTCAATGTATTTACTTACACGCTAGACGTGAGAGGCCTGCTTCAAATCAACCCTTGATTGTATCATCTTTTCCCACTGAAGCAAATGTCTCTCCACTTATCCTGCATATACACAAACACATCACACATGCACTAATATATGAAACGCAGGCATCCATGCGAACCCTCAAAAAGAAGAACTACCTCCTCTCCAAAACACCACCAATGTTGGCCCATTGTAAAGGACTGTCAGTTACGGCCGCCTCTTTTTGGGCCGAAAGGAAAGCAGCGGGATTCAACTTGGGGGCCCAGTGGAGGGTTTTTCTTCCTGGAAAAGGGCCCTCGCTCATGGACTTGAATGCACTCAAGCGCTAATCTTCCAAGCTGTGGGAGCCCACTCTCCATTCACACGATGTTGCGAGCCCCTCCCTGAGCAGGCACAGCAACGGATGCTGATGCTACCCACGTGCTTAATGCAAACATGGCGATTAGAATTTGCGGAATTGAGAGAGAGTGTCTGATGGTGGATGATCTGGCAAATTTTGTGTAATTGTTACTGCTCCGTGACCTGAGCTTGTTCCTCAGGGTTAGCGCCTGTGGTCAAAGTTGAGCGACAAAAAAGTCACAACCCAATGTCCACCAAACTCCATGGGTAAATATTTTTGGCGGCATGTCATCATTAGGATGGACGCTTGAGGAAAACGTTTTTCATAACAACTGAAAAAAATATCATAAATGTCCACTTAACAAGGTCAAAACCCACGTACCATGTCATTAAAATCCACTTCACATTGTCAAAACTCAATGTCCAACCAATTCAATCGAGTCACGCTTGAGGAGGACTTTACAGAGATGTCAATATTTTGTAAATTTGCCCTCAGCGACAATTAAGGAAAGAGATGTATTTCACCCCTGAAATTAAGTGAAATATCTACTCAAGAAGGTCAAAACTCAATGTGCAGCAAACCCCATCACGTCCTTCCATCCATCCATTATCCAAACTGCCATGCAAAGG